AGAAGAAGAAGAAGAAGAAGAAGAAGAAGAAGAAGAAGAAGAAGAAGGGGAGGAAGAGGGGAGGAGTGGGGGAAGGGAAGGGGAAGGAGAGGAGGGGAAGGAGAGGAGGAAAGAAGAAAGTAGGAAGGATAGAAGAAGAAAGGGATAGAAGAAGGAAGAGAAGGGAAGAAGGAGAGGAAAGATTGTTGTAAAATAAGGGAGAGGGAATGGTAGAAGAGTAACCCCGAATATACTCTAATTTTTTTTAGGATGAAGAATGAACTAATACGAAAGTCAAAAGATAACATGTATGATTAACAATGGATAAAAGACTGTACATTTAAGTATGTTTATGAGAAATAAAAATAAAAAACTTTTTAAGAAGTAGAAGTAGAAGTAGAAGTAGAAGTAGAAGTAGAAGTAGAAGGTAGTAGAAGTAGAAGTAGAAGTTAGAAGTAGAAGTAGAAGTAGAAGTAGAAGTAGAAGTAGAAGTAGAAAGTCCATTCAGTCATGTCCAGCTCTATGGGCCAGGTCTTTCCACATCGTCCAATCTTGGACTACTACTTTGAGTTTTTTTATGCTTTGGCTGGGGTCAGCTTTGATGGTGTCCAGCCACCACGTTCTTTGGTGACCTGGTTTCCTTTTACCGCTAAAGTGAAATGATAGAGTGTTGCAAAATATCAATAAAACCATCCTCAAATCCTGTCACCCGTGAGATTTTGCTGCAGCCACTCAAAATCTCAACTCATTTAGGATTCTCATGATAGATATGTATGGGCGTCTATAGAGATTCTCAGTCATCCAGGTCATGGTTGTCCCAAAGGTGCTTTTTCAAGAAGCAACTGGACTTTCTGGTTTTTCTTTGAAGACATGTTTCACTTCTCATCCAAGAAGCTTCCAAGATGTTTCGCTTCTCATCGAAGAAACCCACCATCCAGTCAGAGCTGAAGAAACTTCTTGGGTGAGAAGTGAAATGTCTTCAAAAAAAAAAAAACCAAGAAAGTCCAGTTGCCTCTTGAAAAAGCATCTTCGGGACATGTGTATGGACCGTTTCATGTTTGTAGATACTGGATTGCAAACTCTTACTCTGTGAAGCACAATGCATATTGTGGATGGAAAGCGAACCTCTGAATCTCTTTCTATCACAGCTCTTATCTCATGTTCTTTTGAAGCAAGTTTGTCCATGGGTTGTGTGTTTTTGGTGGAGAATGGTCTTTCAAGAAAGGTTCAGATGAAGGGTGGAGATATATCTCCACAGTCAGCTAGTAATCTTGGTTAAAAATAAGGACTGTAACTTCAATCCAAGGGACGCGGTGGCTCAGTGGCTAAGACGCTGAGCTTGTCGATCGAAAGGTCGGCAGTTCAGCGGTTCGAATCCCTAGTGCCGCGTAATGGGGTGAGCTCCCGTTACTTGTCCCAGCTTCTGTCAACCTAGCAGTTCGAAAGCAGGTAAAAAATGCAAGTAGAAAAAATAGGGACCATCTTTGGTGGGAAGGTAACAGCATTCCGTGCACCTTTGGCGTTGAGTCATGCCGGCCACATGACCACGGAGACGTCTTCGGACAGCGCTGGTTCTTCGGCTTTGAAACGGAGATGAGCACCGCCCCCTAGAGCAGGGAACAACTAGCACATATGTGCAAGGGGAACCTTTACCTTTACCTTTAACCTCAATCCTGGAAGCCTTGGAATACCCCCCGATCACCAGTTCCCCCCAACATAAGATGGTTTTGTCTCCTGCCAATGTCAGAAGAAACCGACTCATGCAAATCAAGCAACTACATTGGCGGAACGACGATAACTTGTGTTGAATTTGGATTTTATAAAAGTTCACCCTTTTCGGTTCTTCTTTCTGTTTTGTTGGAGAGTTTCATAAGGGTTGTTTTTTTGGTTTTTTTTTTTAAATGGAATGGTTCTAGTTAGTCCAGTGAACTGTAGCGGCAGCATCTGCTTTTCAAGACGCCATTATAGTTTAGGGAAAGCAAATGATAGCAGAGTGATAAGCAGATGCTACCCAGAAAGAACTGTAGCTAAACGAGAAATGAATGCAAGCTTTAAACAAGTCTTAGTTCTATAGAATGTCCTCACTCTGCTTTCTCCAGGGGAGATAAGCCAATTTGGAACTAATGTAGCGTAGCTGTGGCAAGCAGTGAGGCTCTGAATCGGGGATCACTAGATTGTAGATCATGTGTAGATCCCTCTTCCTCCTCCTTCCCTTTTCCATTTCCTCCAATCCCCAAACCCCTCTCGCCTCTAGCACTGATGATATTGACTAGTTGGGTGATGAAACATCTACATGTAAACAACCAAGTTCTGAGAGCACCAAGAATCCTTTTACCTTTATTCTTATATGCCTGTACAGTTGGTGTAGCAACATGTCCTAATCTTTCTTTTTCCCCTACTTATAGGACGGCTATTTTTCCCACCGGCCAAAGGAGAAGACACGAACAGACAGCAACAATGAGAACTCTGTCCCCAAGGACTTCGAAAACATTGACAATAGCAATTTTGCTCCCCGGTCCCAGAAGCAGAAGCATCACCCAGAACTGGTGAAAAAACCCATCAGTGCACAGAAGGAACGCCTACGGAGAAAGCTAGAACAGGAAGAGAAAGCCAAGGAGAACTCCGTCCTTGGGAAAAATTTCAGTGAGCGGCTGCCGTTGGACAATTCTGCCCCTAAACCCAACAACAATGGCAACTCTTTGAAGGACACCCCAAGGTCCCTCGGACAGCCTCATATGAAACGGAATGGGAATGGCTCTCCTGAGCTTGGATACGATCAACTGCCAAAATGTGACATTTCAGGCAAGGAAGCCCTCTCGGCTTTATCCAGGGCCAAATCCAAGCAGTGTCGTCAAGAAATTGCCAAGACGTACTGTCAACACAAGCAAGGGAAGCTCATGCCCGAGCAGGTGACTCGTTTCTGCCCGCTGGAAGGTAAGCTGGAGGAGAAAAGGGAGAAGGGTCTCTAACAGCATGTCTATAAAGAGCCATGGTGGCGCAGTGCTTAGTATTGCAGGCTAACTCTGCCGAGTGCCAGCAGTTAGATTCTCACCAGCTCAAGGTTGACTCAGCCTTCCATACTGTGCTCACATGGCCGGAGGTGTCACAGTGGTCAGAATGCAGCATTGCAGACTAACTCTGCCGATTGCCAGTAGTTCGATCCTGACTGGCATAAGGTTGACTCAGCCTTCCATCCTTCCGAGGTCGGTAAAATGAGGATCCAGATTGTTGGGGGCAAGAGACTGACTCTGTAAACCACTTAGAGAGGGATAGCAGGATATAAGTCTTAAGTGCCATTGCTATTTCTATCTTTGTGCCTTGAACAAAAATCATTGCAGTTAGAGTTGCTTAGAGGAGTTACTACATCCTGACATTGTTATGCTTGTTGAAGGAGGAAGAAGGGTGGCGATCAAATCCAATTCTGGTCTCCACGATACAAAAAAGATGCCAAGGTCCCAGAAAGAATGTAAAGAAGAGTAATTAAGATGATAAAGGGACTGGAGGCTAAACCGTATGCTACCGGTTCGCACCAGTTCAGGCGAACCGGTAGTGATAAAAGCTACCTGTTTGGGCAAACCGGTATTTCTGACGATCAGCTGTGCCGCGCGATTTATATTAGCTAGAAAGCAGGAAATGCTGCTTTCTAGCAAATCTAAATCGCATGGCACAGCTGTTCCTCCCCTCGCTGTTCTACTTACCTTCTTAAACCTCCTTTTTCCATGTTAAAAAAAACCCCTCTGATGATCGCGTGGCTCAGCTGGGATCGTCAAAGGCTTTTAAAAGCATTTTTTCTACAATCTCTTCGGTTGTAGAAAAAATGCTTTTAAAAGTTTTTTTTAAAAAGTTGGCCACGCCCACCTAGTCACATTACCCCCTCCCCACCAAGCCACATCTACAGAACCGGTAGTAACAAATTTTACATTTCACCATTGATAGAGAGTATTTTAACTTACTGCGTCTGTGTATGGTTTGCCAATTGCACAGTGGCAGGTAGGACAGCGCTCCAGAGGGTCAACGTCATTGCTCAGAGGATCATGGGTTGCCCTCTCCCCTCCTTGGAAGAGCTTTATAGCTCCCGCTGTCTTAAGAAAGTTCAAAACATTCTTAAAGATCCATCTCATCCTGGGCACCCTTTTTTTTTTTTTTTTGAACTATTACCCTCTGGCAGACGGTACAGGACAATCAAAACAAGGACAAATAGGCTGAAAAACAGCTTCTATCCCAGAGCAGTAACTATATTGGATTCTACTGTTTAGTGCAATATTAATGCAATATCAGGGGTTTTCAATTCAATTGTGTAGAATATAAAGGAGGTGTGCTTGTGTTTTATTTTTTATGTGTAATGTACATTGAAGATGGCATTTAATTTCGTTGTACGAGGTGCGCTGACAATAAAGTAAACTAAACTAAACTAGAAAGGAAGTAATGGCAAACCACTTTGTCTAGTTTAATGAAAGGAAGGACCAGGGGAGACATGATAGCAGTCTTCCAATATCTCAGGGGCTGCCACAAAGAAGAGGGAGTCAAGCTATTCTCCAAAGCACCTGAGGGCAGGACAAGAAGCAATGGGTGGAAACTCATCAAGGAGAGAAGCAACTTAGAACTAAGGAGAAATTTCCTGACAGTTAGAACAATTAATCAGTGGAACTGCTTGCCTCCAGAAGTTGTAAATGCTCCAACACTGGAAGTTTTTAAGAAGATGTTGGACAACCATTTGTCTGAAGTGGTGTAGGGCTTCCTGCCTAGGCAGCGGGTTGGACTAGAAGACCTCCAAGGTCCTTTCCACCTCTGTTATTCTATCTACTTTCAAATCTTGTCAAAGAAACTGCAGGGAGCTGTCCAGGCGGCCTCAAGACTGACTTGAAGGAACCAAAAAAAAGAAGAAGAAGAAGAAGAACTTGAGGGACTTTGAATTGACAGGGATTAAAACTTTCCCATTTAATTCCATGTTAGGACTTTGGCTAATCTTAACCTTGAAGAATCAGTGTCTTTCAAGTAGATTCAAGGTACGCCAGAATCTGTCTTCCTATTTGCCAATGATTTTCTGCAGCTCTAAAGTTCCATCTCACCAAACCTCCATTCCTAAATTTCTCATCGCTTACGAACGGGAGAAGAAAGAAGAAATCAAAGTAGATTTGGAGACCTTCATTTTTTTAAAAAAAATAATAATAATCATTTTCTGCCTTGTTCCCGTTACTGTTGCTTTTCCTTTCCCTTGGCGTATTTAAACGGCTGGGGCAATTTTCATTTAGTCCCGTCTCTTGGGATAATGGATAGCGTAGAGGAAAAAAAACCAACTGGGGTGTAATATTTAGTATTTATTCCTGGTCTCATGCTGGTAGCAAATTAGTTTGCCAGACTTCATCATATGTCCTCAGCAGGCACATATGTAATTAAAAGGAATGTGCGCGGAGTTCACAGTAGCACAAAGCTTTTCCAGCTGTAAAAAGTCCATATGTTCCTTTGGGAACGCAGACCAAGGCAATGTAATTATGGCAAGGCTAAATACGTGTAGGGTTTTTTTTTTTAAAAAAAAATGATTTTCTAATCTGAAGCAAAGTTAACTCTTTTCGTACTGAGCGTTAAAAGAAGAAAAAAGGATGAAAGCTTCCCATTCTATTTATTTATTGTTTATTTATTTATTGCTTCGATTTATATGCCACCCTTCTCCGGAGACTCAGGGCAGCTTACAATGCGTTAAACAATAGCCTTCATACTTTTGTATATACCTGCTTAGTAGGGCTTTCGGCCCCCGTAAGCGATGTTCTTTTTTTATACAAAATCAGCTTATTGCCCCCACAATCCGGGTCCTCATTTTACCTACCTCGAAAGGATGGAAGGCTGAGTCAACCTTGAGCCTGGTGAGATTTGAACTTGCAGTAATTGCAGACAGCTGGTGTTACTTAACAGTGCTTTAGTCTGCTGCGCCACCAAGGCTCAATATTCTAGTTGGAGTTCTTTTTTCTTCTCCCGTTCATAAGCGATGATAAATTTGGGGATGCGGAGGTTTGGTGAAATAGAACTTCATAGTCACAGGAAAACGTTGGCAAATAGGAAGACAGATTCTGGCCTAGCTTTGTGTCAGTTTTGTTCCTGTTACCCTGTTTCCCCGAAAATAAGACATCCCCTGATAATAAGCCCAACATGCACTAAAATAAGCCCTCCCCACCCGAAAATAAGCCCTCCCACTCTGCGTTTGGCAACAAGTTACGTGGCAGCTTGCCAAACGAGATAAGGTTTGTGTTGATAAATATTCCTTTGAAAAACTGTTTGGACAACTCTTGCTGACTGTGAATGAAAGTAATTCACAGTCGTGTAAATAAAAGAGATTTTTCCGGGACCAATTCCTGCTTCCTGCTTTTTAAGGGAGCCTAGGTAAGCTTGATCCCTGTCAAGCATTGTGCCGCAAATCTTGTAATTGTACGAGTTGTAAATCTAAAAGATCTGGAGGACCAAAATTGTCCATCTTTACCTTAACGGATTGTGAGAATAACCTTGGGAGAAGGAGGAAGAGCTGCAGCTAAGACAATAGTCAAACGGGAGATATTTCAGAAAGAATGAGAATAGAAAGAGAATCTCAGAAAGGGACCCTCCCTAATTCCCTAGAAAGTAAACGCGAGGAAGTGGGGGAAGGGGCTTTCAGACTTGCAAATCCCTGTAACTGGTAACCTTGCAATAAATTTAGCGTTAGCGCTCCAAGTTTTGGTTTCCTGTCTGGACTTCCTCAAAGGACTGACACATTCTAGAAGACAGATGGCTGCACAGACCTGAAATGCAACCCCTTGGTCCTGATGGATCTACAGGCCTTGTAAATCAACGCGAGAACTTCCTTGAAAGGTTTCCTTAAAAGGATTTGCCATCTGGTTGAAGAAATCCCAAGTCTGCGTTGAGTGCGTTAATGAAATCGGAATACATTTGCATATGAATATCAGCAGCTCCGACAGAGTTCACGGTGTGGTCTTTTCAGGCGCCTGCCTGCCTTATGGCGTAGCAAGATCTAGCAATCGTAATGCACAGGTTAGAGCAGGCGTCCTTCAATCTCAGGTTCTCCCCATCTGTTGGGACGGCATCCTGAGGATTTCCAAGCCAGATGGGGCCCTGTGAAATTCCACGATTCTGAAGCCTTGTAAGGAATTGAAATGACAGCTAAAACTTCTCATCACGGCTTAAAGTTCCATTATTATTGATGGGCAGTTTTAAGGTTCATCTCTGGATTAAAGAGACAAATAATCAGGGGTGGGCCTCAAAAATTTTAGCAAGGGGTTCTCTGCCTGGTTGCTGGGTGGGCGTGGCCATGGTGGGCGGGGGCTAGTCAGTTACTACCAGTTCTGTGGGTGTGGCTTATTTTGTGGGTGTGGCTTGGAGGTCATGTGACTACGTGGGCGTGGCTAGCTGGTCAGAGTCATTTCTGGAAGGTCCTCGCACTTACGACCAGTCCTCGCACTTACAACCCAACTCATTTGTTTGCTTTTAACACTGATCAGCTGTAGGACGGCCCTTTGAAGCCCCGCGGCAAGAGTTTAAACAGTTTTTTCCCCTCTAGTCATCAGCTGGGACTCAGGAGGCAGCAATAGATTGGGGGTGGGACCAAATAAAAGGTAAGAATAACATGGGGGGGGTGGGAGGGCGGGGGGGGAGAACCGGTTCGGTGACGTCGTATCGTCACCGCTACCGGCTCGGCCGAACCGGACCGAACCGGGAAGAACCCACCACTGGTCTAGTGTAATAAAAAGAAGGACCAGGGCAGTAGTGGGTTTCAATTTAGTTTGGTACCGGTTCGCTCGTGCACACAACACTTCTGCGCATGCACAGAAGCATCCGGGCAGGTGGGCAGAGCCTCCCACCGCCACCACTACTGCTTTGCCCGATCCAGGGCGAACCGATAGCAACCCACCACTGGACTAGGGGTGACATGATTACAGTCTTCTAAGACT